CCCCGGCACCTCTGACCTGTACCCCCAGTTCTGTATGAATACATAAATAAATCTTTTTAAAATATAGAAAGACAGTAAGAGATAAAAGGACGTTATAGTATGATTAAGGTTCTAACAAAACAAGAATACTACTCCTATACACATGTGCACCAAATGATGGCAAACCAAGATACATAAGAATTAAAAACAGAACTAAAGAGAGATTATTATTAACAGTAATACCAAGATACCTTAATACCCCACTTAATACTGCACTTAAAATAATACTGCACTTAACAAATAAAGTATGAGGAAAGGAAAGCTCTGAATACTAACTAGACCAAGTAGGTCTAACATCTATAGAATACTCCACTCAAAAACTGCATACACATTTTTTGCAAATGCACATGGAACATTTCAAGACTAGATTATCTCTTAGTACGCAAGTCAATTGTCAATAAAACCACCAAGATCAAAATTATATCTAGTACCTTCTCAAGACTATAATGTCATAAAGCTAGAAATCAACTATAAGGGGGGGAAAAACTGGATAAATGATCCCAAATAAAAAGCCTAATAGCACCTCCAAAACTCAAAAAAGCAAAACAAATAAGACCCAAGGAGGGAGGAAAAAAATAAAAATAACAGAAATAAGTGAAAAACATAAGCATCACATGTGAAAAAGGAGAAATCACTGCAGGTAGCACAGGAATACAAAAGGTCACAAAGATTATAGACCAGAAACCAGTGGGACTCATCCCAGAGAAGTAAAAAGTTTTAATACATGTAAATCAATTAATGCGCTATATCAACAAGAATAAAGATTAAAAATTATATAATAGCAATAGAAGCACATAAAGCATTCAGTTAAGATTCAGCACCCATTCATAATGCCAAGATGGAAACAGAAGGACCCTATCTCAATATAGTAAAGGTGGTATATCACAAACCAACAGCCAATATAATACAATCCTCAATAGTGAAAAACTGAAATCTTTCCCATAAGATCCTGTGCAAGATAAGGACAACCACTGTTACTTCAGCTTAATCTAGTACTAGTGGTTTTGGCCATATCAGTCAAACATGGTTTGAAAAAAAAAGGAATCTAAGGAGGCAAAAAAAGGAGTGAAACTATCATTATTTGCAGACAAGACCATAGAGATGATCCTAAAGATTCCATCAAAAAGTTAGTAGAAACAATAACTGAATACAAACTGGCAGGCTATTAACTCAATATATAAAAGCCATAGTTTTTTATATACAAACAAAAAGCAAAAGAAATTAAGAAAAGAACTGCTCATAACTGCCTGAAAAAGTATGAAAGGACCCTCCCACAGCCACTGCAGCATGAGTTCTATCCCCAGCCAGGGAGGTGACCCACATGGTGTGACCCATGTGGTGTGACAGACCTCTCCTTGCCCCCATCCCTCCCAGTCCACCCCCGCTGCTCCTCTCAGCAGTATACTTGGTCAATCTGCCTGTTCTGCTCCCAACTCTGTCTCCGGTGGGCCCTCTCACAGCCCCCCACCTCTGGCCTGTCCCCAGTTCTTGCATGCATAGATAAATAAATCTTTTTAAAAGATAACTAAATACCTGAGAATCAACCTAACAAAGGAGATAAAAGCCCTATACAAAAAAAAACTACCGATGCTATTAAAGGACATAGTGACATAAGGAGGTGGGACGCTATCCCCTGCTCATGGATGGGGAGAATCAAAATGACTATCCTGCCTAAAGTGATATACAAATTTAAGACAACTCCCATCAAAATTCCAGCAATATTATTCAAAGAAACAGGATAAAAAAGACTGGAACCACTAAAGGCTTTCAAAGAAACTGAACAAAATATATGGAACCACAAAAGGCTTCGAATTGTAAAAGCAACCCTAAGAAAAAAGAAAAAAAGAAGTCGAGGTATCCCATTACCTGACTTCAAACTTTACTTTCACTGTAAAGCAAAACTATTGAAAACAATATGGTACTGGCATAAAAACAGATACATGGACCAACAGAACACAATCTAGTCCAGAAATAATCCACATATATGTCAGCAACTAATCTATAATAAAGCATCCATAACCATAAAATGGGCAAAAGATCACACATAAAAGATTGAAGTTAGATTACTGGCCAGCACCATACAAAAAAAAATTTCCAAATAAAGATTGAGATATAAAACCTCCAATAATAAAATACATAGAGAAAACCGTGGCAATATGTTGCATGATATCAACAATAAAAATATTTTTGGTTACTCAACCCCTATGGCAAGGAAATTAAAATAAAAAATAAGCAACTGAGATTGCCACAAGTTAAAAAGCTGCAATACCGCAAAAGAAAATACA